CCCACACTCAATCTTAAATAATCTGCCTTCCTGCTTCAACACTACGCTTCGTCTTGCCTGTGTGGAGAGCAGCTTGGGGACCTCTGCTTATTGCAGGCCCTTTTTGCAGCATCTGAAAGCTCTGCATGGAAGGGGTGAGGTGCGGGGATGGAGTGTCTCCACTCAGTAATCTACCACGGGGCGGTCCAAAGCTTCCGGGCGACCCTAACTCTCTCTCAGTGAATAGTTTATGCCCTGGAAACTGTAAAAAAACACCTAAATGTCCAACTACCAGGACAGAAGTCCAAACGTTGCAGAATTATGTGAAATACACACTTCCAGGTGAAAATACACTTAATTTTAAAGATACTCTGTTTTAAATTTTAAGGATTTTCACAAAATTGGATAAAAAGTTCCGAATTTCAAAAACACGTAGCGTCTTAGGCATATTTTGCAGTTTGAGAAGTTTATAAAGTATATTAATGGTTTGTTACTTTGTAATTAAAATCCAGACTTGCTGTTATGCAATTTAAGTGACATTTTAATTCCAACTCATTCCTTGTAGGAACTCTAACTCCAATTAGATTATTTATGTGTTGAAGAGTGTTGATAAGAGATGATGTTTTTAAGAAGGGTTTGTGGAGTTTGAAGTTTAATTATCCTCAAAATTACCGAAATTATCCTCAGGTATAATATCCTAGGCGGGTCTGTAGACCTTCATTTCAAATCGTAAAGGAAAGATGTCAGTATTTAACTGACTCTCAAAGCATTTCCTAAATAGATTATTTTGTGTGTTAGCAAAATCAGTGTGTAATTAATGCCCTGTGTTAAAAACAATCTCCGTTTTCCCTCCACACAGTGAACATGGCCACAAGCAGGCTAATAGGTGCAGTGGCAGGCACCATTCTGGCCCTGGGGGTGATTTTTGGAGGCACAGGGTGGGGAATAGAGTAAGCATCTTTGTGAGTTTCAGAGTGTTTCTGTGTGGTTCCTGGTGTGTGAGCTGACCCTTGGTACCTGGCCCCTACCATGTGTTGTCTCGTTGACGTATTTCCCATGCTAGTGCAACTTGTGGTGTGATTTGGATGTGTTTGTGTCGTGTGGTTCTCTCGTGCAGTGAAGAACCTTCTCCTGTCTGGAACAATGTGGGGCATAAAATAATACTGGGGTGCTTATGATGTCTTCACAATTAAGACGATGGTCCAAAAGCTTCCATTGCTCCTCTACTTGTAAAAGTCATTTTAAGATACAGACCTTTTATTTTCATTGTTTTTTATTGGCAAAAAAAAAAAAAAAGCTTTTATACGAGTGTTTCATTAGAATTCCTTTAATGAATGTAATCTTCACCAGTCAAATAGATCCACATATCCAACTAGGAATTATCAACAGTTGTAGCTTCTTTTTAAGATAATCTGAATGATAGTCACTAATATCTTTTCCACTCAAAGCGATAGGGGAGGCTTTGGCTTAATTTTTTTAAAGAAGATAGGTAGGCTATTGCCTTTATTTTTTTTCACATAAAATAATTCAGATTAGAAGTTTACATAAATATTTGGGACCTAAGAGTATGAAGAAGAAAGATATATTTATCCAAACCTGCAAAACCTTCAGTGAATAGTTGCAAATTATCTGGTGGTTTGTCTTAAAAGTAACCAGTGCATTAATAAGTAAATTCTGTATCTCTTGCCTGTTGATCTCTCACAGAAATATAAACTCTTCTTGCGCCTTTATTTAGGTTGCTCTGTACTTGATCCACATCCTCAGAATAGCTGTCAGTTCTCCACGGGATATTGCTTTCATGGGGTTGCTAATCTGTAGACCAAAAGAGTATTGCGATTTTCCCCTCTCTCTCTAATTCTAGAGAACACTTATAGATGACAGAAATACCCCTTCATGCGCTGTCTTTGTGTTCACGGGGATGGTGGTAACACTTCCCAGTGGCCCAGGGAGAGAGGACTAGTATTACCGGATAGCCTCTACTCAACCGATCCAAACTATGGGCATGTTGATCCTATTACACACATTGCTCCTTAGTCCCAATAATTACAGCCCACGGATGCTCTTCCATTCGGAGCCTGGGAGACCCAGGCACTAAAACAGCAGTTAAGAGGGGCGCAGGCCCGAAGGCCCTGCTCTGTGTTGAAGATTACCTGAACCTTCTCTCCCTTGGTTTGAAGGACTTTGACTAGACTTGCATCTGCTCACTCAACATCCCACTGGTAGGGACTGTGAAGCTAGTTATCTCAAGACAGCTAGAAACACTGAAAAAGATATTTTGTTTCTCTTTACTCCTTTGAAAAAAAAGGAGTAGGACAGAGGTAACATCTTTAGAGAAAACAAACTCTGTCTTGTAAAAAATCTCACCTTGGATCTGCTGACTGGATTATATATAGAAGTAACATTCCTTTTCCAGGGGAAATTTTATATATACATTTATGTGAAATTCCTCCTTGAAGAAAGGTAGTTTTCTAAAAAAAAAAAAAAAATCATTCCAGTGTTGTTTTTTAGATTATTTATTGACCATAATTGTGATGTGCTGCAGTGTACCAACTAAGGGGTGAATTTTAATAATTTTCCCCTTGAGCCTTAGAGAATAGGCAAACCCTAAGGTATTCTTCGTAAAGCATGGTCCTTGTTACCAGGCTTTGTTCTCATCCTCCCTTCCAGTCTTGTTGGTTTGTGCCTATTTCTGGTTGTGACAGGTAAGTCCGTATAAGTGTATTTTTTTTCTAAAAATAGATTTGTTATTTATTATCCTTGCTTGATGCACTATTTTTGTTTATTAGCTGATTGTTTTCCCTCGATTTCTAAATTTTGCCTTAATTGCTAAATCATAAATATAATTTTTTAAAAATCCACAATAGCACAATACAAATTGTTTTAATACTTCCTAGCTTAGCTGATAGTGTCATGTTCATCTAGTCACTAAGGATTCCATGAACAGAAGGTTTGGGTTTTTTTGTGTGTTTGGGATTTTTTTGGGGGGGGCGGGAGTGGGGGCTTTTATTTCTACTCCTTAGTTTATAATTGTAAATCAGGAATCATTTCTCATGAATTATGTATTGCTTCTAATCCCAGCCTGTGTTCTGAGCTAGTAAAGTGCAAATCATGCCTAAAGCATAATGTACACGGAAATATAAATATTTTCTCAATGTTTGTTTCCAAATGTGTTTCCGTATTAAAGTGTGGGAAGGAAATACGTATAAATGGAATGTTTCATTAGAGCAGGGGTTCGCAGACTTTCTGTAAGGGGCCAGGAGGTACATAGTTTCGACTTCGCAGGTCACAGGATGTTTGCCACAACCTTGTGACTCTGCTGTCTTAGCACAAAAGCAACTTGTAAACAACATGAAAACTAATGAGTGTGGCTGTCTTCCAATCAAATTTCTTCGCAAAAACAGGAAGTGGGGCCAGATTTGGCCAATGGGCTATAGCTTGCTGACCCTTGATTTATAGCATAAGCTTCAAAGACAAATCAGTCTTCAAATCTTGCCTCTGTCACTACATTCTAGAAGCCACTGTTTCTTCTTCTATTAAACAGGGATAGTCATAATTCCTACCTCGTATGGTTTTTGTGAGGATCCAGTGAGCTAATATTTGTCATGTGCTTCGAACCACACCTGGCACATTGTAAGTGCTCAATGCAGAGTAACCAGCCTGCTTTTCTTGCTCTCCTGTTACTAATTGTTATATTCGTGCATTTTTGAAAGCCACTGAGATGTGTGTTCTGTAGGACCTCAGTGGTTAGTCTTAAGAACGTGTCACAAGCCCACGAGCCTGAAGAGACCACATCCCCAAACCCCCACTGCAGCTGTCCCCCCACCTTTCTACTCACCCTCACAAGCACTGGGTGGTCTCTGAGTTAAAAACATGTGATGCACACAATTTTAGTGCTGCTCAAAGTGGCATCCATTTATGTACACAGTTGAGGGCACCAATGTGAGCAGAAAAGAGAATTTTTTACACAGAAATGGATATATTCACAAAGTCGAGGGGTTTAGGGAAAATACCAAAAGTGGCTTTGTGACTTCTGGAACAGGGCATTCAGTTAGGACTGGAAGTATTTTGCTGTTAGGGGCCCTGTACCTATGTATTAGCATCCTGAAGGATGTGATATTCAAAATAATTCTTGTACTAAAGTTAATGTTGCTTACATTGAAAACTTCGAGAGCTAAGGCATTTTCCCCTGTGAGTGGAGAGGATATGCTGTCCTGCGTGTCACCTCGGACTCAAACAATAAATGGAAACTCCACCTTGTGTTTTCTGTCTTGCTGTCCTTTCTGCTCCCTTTTTAAAATCTATCTCCAAGCCTCAACTTGCAAACGGGAACTTGAAAGATAGTCTCAATTGAACCTGCAGAATCTTTTTTCCATTTCCCACAGAATTCCCCAGATGAATGCCATTGTTTCAACACTGTATGGATCCGTACAGTGAAGAAATGCATCTCTGAGAGCGAAGCTTCAAAAGCAGATCTTTATTAGTAACCTCCTTCTGACTTTTAAATGTGTACTGTTTCCACGTGGGAGATTAAAAAAAACAAAAACGTAGCCTCCGGACCACTTGGTGTGGGGCTTGAAAGAGCACTTGATTAGAATATTTTCCCCTCTTTTCCTGCCCTCACTGGCCAGTCAGGTAGAGCTAATTCTAATGCATCTGTGTTCTTGATGTGCTCTTTTGCTTGTTTGATTCGTGATATTGGGATGGAGGAGGAGAAGAAAGATGAGCAGTGCCGGCCGTTGGGGCACATTCGCTTCAAATTCTGTGGAAGGTGAATTTAAAGGAACTTAATTGTCAGCGGTGCAGAAGCTTTAGACGTAGAGGCAATTCCTCTCCAAGGAGTAGCTCTCCATAGCATCGGAAGTGCAATTAAGCTGAGTCAATAAAGGCGATTGAAGTGTTTAGCAATTTTTTTTTTTTTTTATGCAGGGTATTTACTTCCTAAAACCGCTTAACTGCCTTTCCCTTGTGGTAACGACAGTCGTTGGCTCATATGACTTTCTTCCCATGATCCTTTGTCACAGGTCCTAGTGCCACCAATCTCATAATAGGCTCCATCGCTGGTGCCATCCTGGTAGCAGCTATTGTCCTTGGGGGCACAGGATGGGGATTTAAGTAAGCAACAGCGCATGTCTGCTTCTCAGTGGCTCTGGCACTTCTCTTTTCTGCTTACATAACCAAGTTTTGAGTTCCTGCTACAAGATTGCAAGGTTTAACGGTAAACTGCTACAAGTAACTATTTTTCTTGAGAAATGGGTTAGGAAAGAAGAAACCTGGAACCTCAAGTGTCATCTTCAGGCTAGGGGGAGAACAGGAAATGTAGAAGGCATTCACGTGCACGAGCTTCAGGAGAACAAAGTAGAGGTTCTTCAGGAGACACTCCAGCTTTTAGGGGCAAGCATCCTGAGATAATGTTTTTTTATACAGGATAATTGGGAAAAGAGATAGTCGGAAATAAGTGGCTATAAATCCTTTGTATCTGTTTAAAATTGGTTTATGTTCCACTGACATGTTGAGGTTTGCACAACCTAAGTAACTATTTGTTCATTATTTTTCACACATAACACATTATGCATAGCTTTGTGATTTGAAAAGCTTCATTATTTTATAAAAAATAGATCTAAAAAATTTTATTAATTCCCTAACCAACTGAATTGGTTTCACATTGGAATTTGAAATCTGTGGCTTTGTGATACTTAAATATTTTCTGATTAACTGCAAATTAACTGGTATGTTTTCCATAGTAACTTTTAGTTTGGACCGTGCATTGATCACTGAACTAGGTTTGTTCAAATACACATGGCAGATATTCACAAATCAACCTTAATTATGATCAAAATTTGTAAAGCTAACTTATCAGGTTTAGGTGTTTTCATAGCTCAGATTCATTGGATAATTAATTTTTATATCTTTTCATATTGTGGTGGCTTGATTATTATGATGTGTAGATAAGACTTCCTATGCCAAATACTCCGTGTGATAAATTAAGTCCCAACCGGATCTATAGAAACAGATTTAAGTGGGAAATAAGACCATTACCTAAATTCAAAGCCCACTTTGCCTCCATCTGGTTACTCAATAGAGGAAGTTTTTTACTTGGATTATCTGAATAATTGCATTAATTATGAACTTTATGCTATTTTACATTTTGAATCCCAAATTCAAAATATTGAAACCAGATAAAATGTTATTAGAAACTGATTATGAAGGAAAAACAAACCACACGATGATTTAAATACATTCAACATTTTCTGCTAATTTTGTTATCATATTAAGATTTAATGAGTAAGCCTACATATTGTTGAGTGGCTTCAACTTGGAAAGTTGTTATCAAACGGTACTTTCTTTCTACAGAGATATTTGTAACCTTGAACTTGTTTGCCGAAACAAATGGCATCATTACGTTTTCAAAACCACACACAAAATGGGCAACTCAAATTTGAATTTCTCACTGTGGTTTTAACAAACCATTGCCCGGATAATGAGTCACTCACGGTACCTAACAACAACAACAACAACAAAAGACATATATATTGTTGTTGTTGTTTGGTTTTGGCTGGCCTAATTCAAGCAAAAATTTTTCTTCGTGCCATATTACTGTAAAAAAGTCATGGCACATTATGATAGTTCCATGATCTGTTATTATTTCATAATGCTCCCTTGAACTTTTTCATCAATATGCTTCAAGAAAAATAAATTTGGCTCGTGCCCAAGCTTAAGCCTTCTTGGCATCAGGAAGCCTCCGTTTCAAGGCCTGGAAAACAGTCCTGTGCATCTTCTTCTGTCCAGCCACACAATGCCAAATTGTGACCATCTCGGCCTTTGGAGACAAGAGCACTGTTCTGTAGCAGGACCTCAAAACAGTGGCCTGGCCTAGTGCACAGCTTGAATTGCATGTTTCTTTGGGGAAAAATGGAAAAGCTTTTATCACTGTGTATGTAAGTGGATTAGGCCCTGTGCAGATTATTTGTATCTGAGAGACATGTCTAATCATCAGAAGAACAGAGAAAAGGAAGGGGAAATGGACACCTAGTGAGGTGAGAAGCAGCCTCTGGTGGCCGCCGAGTGGGGACTACCGTGCAGACACGCATTCTGCTGCGCTAAGCCAATGCCCCTTCCCGTGCCCTGGGACCCTAAGAGTTACTGCAGAGGAAAACGCTGTAGGGACGCACACAATAACGTGAAGTATACTTATGGCCTAAAGCAAAGAAAAAAGCAAGCACAGAATAATTCTTGAACGTTAGGAGTTTAAACTTGGAGAATCCACTGCTCTTCGTGATGACTATTGGTTGCTCTCTGAGGATCTGAATTTGCTTTAGCTTTTAAGAGTAGCCATGTGGTTTATATTAAACGTTAAATAACTACTTCTACTTTGCAAGAAAAGGCTTTGGGTGCCCAATGATGCAGGTTAGGTTCCCCCCAACTTGGGCAGTTTTGGAGACTATTGGTCTAGAAGTTATTTGCTAATTGAACTGAAAGTCTTTAGGTTTTTCATTGAGTTCAGTGTAAATACAAAAGAGGGTCATTTAGGATCAGAAGTAGGAAATAGTTTGTAAAAGAGATTGCTCTAAATACTGTCATTGGAAATCCTTCCTGGAATTGTGTTTTACTAGAAGAGAAAAGCAAAGCAAGTAGCAAAGTCGCCTGAGGATTTGGAGGGTCCATAACCTTTTAGGTTAAAGGAAAACATACTAACTGCTCATGGGAAGTACTGCTTTTTCCTAAAGTCACATTTCTTGAGGTGGAACACTGCGAGTTATTTAAATGTGGAAGAAGTGTCATACCATACGTGACCCGTTCAGGTATAAATGAGGAAACAGCTATGCTCTGACCCCTGACAATGTCTGCCATTCTCCGTAGATTTTTTTCTTAAGCCATATTTCCTCTGAAATAGGTGGTAAAAAGCATGAGTCTTTGTGAGTGTGCATGCATGTGTGGGACTGTGTGCACCTTGTGAATAAATGATAATGAAGTTTGGTCAAGATAATTGTGATAAAAAACAATATAAGTCTAGATGACATCTTTCTAGCAGAATAACAGAGCCTGCAAGCTTTGCTTAATGCAAACAAGACTTCCATAAGCAATGTTGTAAAACTCCCGAGAAGAAAAAAAAAATGCTTTATTTGGTAGGTTATTTCACTGAACATATTCTGATACATGGGGTAACGTGTGGTAACTTCAGTTAATCCCATACTCCAGAAGTAGTTAGTTTATGGATCCCCAGTCTTTGGAGCATTAGTACTCTGAGAAATCCTGTGAAAAATGAAGGTAGGTTCTTGGCACACTCATTTGTCCAACTTTTCCCCCCAAATCTGCATCTGTTTACAAGCCCTCTCCATCACCTGCACACACAGAGTAAAGCTAGGGATTGTGCTACAGAGTATTGCAAGCCTTGGTCCTGGTTGACTCGTGAAGACTCATAGCCTCTGTTCAGTTTTGAACAGTAATGCTGCTCGATTTGATTTTTAGGGCTGTTGCTTTACTAGACATTAGCAAAATCAAGTAGATGGAGGACCATTTTAGTAGCATCTTCTCTAAATCTTAGGAAAGGTAACAAATACATGAAAAGAGGATTTCATGTTTCCATTTGAAAATGAACGGAATTGCGGGTCCCACCCTGGACATGGTTTTTTTTATTGGACATTCCCTAAATGTGAATATAGGAATGAGATGTGAGCAATATAGTTATTTTACAGGACTATGAAGTATGTGATGACCATAAGCGATGGTGGTCAGAAAGAAATTCTAGGTGATAAAGAACTTGAAGGTATCAGTGACATAGTTTGTTGACTGGATTGGGGGATGAGTCTTGAGCTCTTCGAACCATGTTACCGTGCCTCAGACTATGGAGCCCTATCACCATGTCCCACTTTCCCACCACTTGTTCTCTCAACGTCATTCAGTGGCAGTAGTGGTCATACGCTTGGCAGAGCTGCTCTTGACATTGAAAGTGTTACTTTAATAAGTCTGTATAGTAACCGTGATTTCCTCTCTATGAGAAGTTACTTGGGTTACAAGTTCTTACTGAGCCTGATTTTGACCGTAAGCAATTCTGTTTGGCCTGCTGTGTTCCATTTCAGAGGACATGCTAAAGAAAAGGTACTCACATAAATGATATGTAAAGGATCATATCTGGGTTTATCACAAGGAAAGTTGCAATTTTGCATGTCAAGTTGGATGAAATTTGGAAGGAATTTAATACTGCTAATTATATTTTCTCGAAAGAGTAAATGTCTTTTGTTTTTGATTTTTGTAGAATTAGGAAGTGGAATCAATTGTAGCTAGTCTTTCTATGAGGAAAACCAAGCTGCTGCTTATCTGAATTCCATGACCCTATCCCAGTGGGAAACAGGAGCCTAATTCCCTTAAATCCTGTAGCTCCTGGGTTAGGCACTTTCTCACTCAGACCTAGCAGGCTGGCCAGGAAGACCCAAGGTCAGCTCCCTGACTCAGCCCTCTAGGGAAGTGAACGCTGTCAGAGGTGGCCTAGGAGGGGTTGAGGGAGGGGTTTTTGGTGGGCAGTGACGACTCGCTGTGGAAAGATAAGAAGGTGATAGCGGTGGGTAAATATATACCCTTGAAGGAACTAAAGGGTTTATAAACCGGAGATGCCTGTTGTTACCTGAAGAGCTTTGTTTTAATTTTGTATAGATGTATATACATATAACATATATTGTGGACAAAAGTACAGGTTTTTCAGGCATAAAGATTGATGAAAACTGGGTCAATGCAAAGCTTATGGGTTATGCTAATATTGTATAATGATCCAGAAATACCTCACGGGTTATGATGAGAAAGTTCATTGCCTTCCCAATCCTAGTGAGCGGAGGGAATTCAGATGAAAACACTTGGGGAAGGGAGGCAGCGAACATCTACCTGTGATAGTTGTGCTTTCACATTAAAATGGAAAGAAAAGATTTTTTTCCTGTAGAAAATTCAGGGCAGGCAGTTGTCATATATGGTGAGTTCTCACAAGTCGCCGTGGTAGTTTTGCAGTTGATACGCGAGGAGCCCTCCCAGTCAGCCTGCCACGGGAGGGTCCCTCTCTGTCCTCATCGCAGGGCCCTGCCTTCCTTCTGCTGGGATGCCTGTGGAGGAAATGTGGTGCCCTGCTGGTCTTCAGAGTCCACTTTCCCGCAGAAACACAGGGTTCTACAGGGTGGCACGGCCTCCTGGTCTGGCCTGGGAATGCATTCACCCTGTAAAATAGATTTTCTTTAAAATAACGCAATCTAACCTTCCAACACTGACTTTAGAGCACAAGCTTTTGGACCCTGGAGGTTGACTGTATTCCAGGTTGAAATGGAAAGGCCTATCTGCATTTAAAAATGGACTGGATTGCAGTTAAGACCTCGGACATGGCTATTTATCTGCCTTTCCCCGAACTTGAATAAGGGGATTTAGATGTGAGCAATATAGTCCTTTACACGCACAGCCCTAGCTGGCTCGATCTTTCCTCTATATTCGTTTTTAATTGAGGGGACATTAGTTTCGCATTTCTCTCCAGTTCCAGCAATAGATAGCTAAATTGGTTGGAGTCCCTGGTCCTTCGGGGTCATTTGGCAAGGTCAGGCAGTCCTTGTTTTTCGCCATCTGACTCACGGGGAGAGTTGTTGCTTATACACCTGCCCTTAAGGGCTGTGAGTGTGGGTTGTAAGCATGGGTGCTGAGCTTCAGCCAACGAACTCTGTGCCGGATGCATTATGGGAGATGTGCCCTTTGGGTCCCAAAGCAGCCATAATGCCTGCCTTCAAGAATACTGACTCAAAAGCGGGTGGTTGGAGGTGACCGGGACTGGGGAAAAAAGGAAGTAGCCTTGTTGCAAATAGTGTCTGCAGCAGCGGATTATCTGCTAGGCCAGCAAACCACAGGCTTAGGCCATTAATGAAGCCATTTTAATGAAACCTTTTGAAAGAAAAGGGAGATTTTCTTTAAAGATTTATTTTTTTTTTCTTCAATTTTTGTTCTTTCGAAAGAGAAGTCTCAAAGTGGTCATCTTGGGAGAAATGAGAACTTTTGCGGGATGCCTTTATACATATGTTGAGCTTTGGTATTGTTTTTATTTTGAATTACATGGCGGAGGGGAGGAACACACTGTAATTTTTTGGCACTTAGGGCTGAAAGGGTACCCAGCCGGCCCTGAGTGGGCAGGGGAGAGAGGGATCTCGGGGACTCCTCGGGCTCCAGTCTTGCATGATGCCTTGGTGACAGCGTTGCACCCGCCCAGTGCGCAGACTAAATGCATGAGCCCCCTTGCTTGATGCCCCACATGAAGCCAGACCATGGGGAGGTTGCAACCAACTTCTGTTGTTGCCTTGTAATGTCTTGCTGGTTCTTTCCTTTTTCTCTTTCTCAACATAGGAACCACTTTTTAGGAGACTGGACACTGTGAGCAAGGCATTTTAACTTGCTTATTTCCACTAAGCTTAACTGCTGCATTTGCTTAACTAACCCGAGCCTGTGTCCATTCTCCTTGGAGTGTACTGTCTTACTGTGCACTCTCGTTTTCAACTTGTTAGATATGAAAAATGCTTGTTCCATGGTGGGGTAAGAGCTCACACATCAAGGCAGCAAGATAACTGGGTAGAACAAGGCTCTTTGCCCTCTTGGCAAAGGCCGATCCACTGACAAAGAACTCTCAAGTGGTGGAAGGAGGCAGCTAGGAGCCCTTCAGAGTTTTTGCGTAGCTCCCCTAGTAGCCCCCTGGAATGTGGGAAGAGCCCTTCCTGTCATGTTCGTCTGGTTAAAATTAGCCCATATCCTCTACCTCCGAAATAAGAGACCGATTGGCCTGCGGAGGCTTCCAGTGATTTAAAACGCACAACTCGAAGCTTCTTTTGGTCTTTACAAATGGCTGTACTCTAGTGGAGATGTTGTAAAGACGTTCAAACGTGTGAGCTGTTCTGGGCCCCCAGTTATTTTGGGAAGTCTGCCCCCGTGTGAGTTGATTACTTTGCTCTGGAACTAGTGTTGTTGTCATTATCATCACCCTCCTCTCATCATGATCTGATTAATATTGTGGATTTCTCCCTCTCTGCCTGCATCTCTGGAAGAAATGTCAAGAAGCGGAGGTTCGATCCCACTCAGCAAGGGCCCATCTGAGTCCGCGGCCGCGGGTGAGCGGTGCCTCGCACTGTGGGATTCTGGGTGAGACATGCCCGCTGCACCCTTGCTGGAGCTGCTAAGTCTGTAAGCGAGACCGCTGGGTGGTTAATGACCACAGGACTGAAGTTGGGGACAGGGATGGGGTAAAAGGAAACTGTCCTTTGGGGAAATAATTTCAAAGAACCCCTCTCACCACCTGTCAAGAAAAGGGGATAAAAGACAATGTTCTAAAAAGAACTATTTCAGAACCGTTTTTTTTTTTTTTCTAACTAAAGGAAGAAGGAACAATAACAAAAAATTAAGTGCAATAAAAGAACCATAAAAAATAGCAAATGAATTTTTTTCTTTCCTCAGCCTGCTGGCACATAATATCTCCTAAATGATTTGGCATGATTTTTTTTTTCTTTTCCTACCAATGACACACTCCAGTGGCATGAAGATCTAATTTTCGAAAGGGTAAAATCCGCATGGCATATCTACAACAAGCAGCTAGCAAGCCAATCCACAGCAAAACCTGCAGCTGAATTCCCAAGGTGAAGACGTCCCGGGAACACGCGGAGGTTGCCTGGCCCTCACCCCCTCGTCTAGACCGGGCCACGAGAGACTCCACGGACCCCAGCTCTTGTTGAGTCCCTTTCCCCTCGTGTGTTTGCCTGGGCCAGGCATCCTTTGGAAATGGGAGCTGGAATTTGAACAATGATGCTATTGTATAGTTCTTTTATAAATGTAAATATGGAAATAAGAGATTTTGACACATCATTTTCACTTGTCTGTACTGGAATATTTTTCTTGTAAAGGTTCCCTGTAGATTTGAGTTTATTGTTTGCTCCCCATCTTTTGGGTTCTTTTCGCTGTTTTTTCTCTCTCTTCTCTGATAACACGTTGTTCAGTGATTTGGAGGCTTGCTTCAAAAAGACAGATGTAGCCACAGATGCAGGGAGTTTTGGTACAAAACAGGTGCAAGTTAACAAGGAAATGCTTGAACGAAATGAAATGCTTGAAACCAAAAATAAGCAAAAGCGGGGCGGGGGGACACAAACAACTAAATAACCCATATTAAAAACACAAAAATTATGTAAATGCAAATATATGTACCGACAAGTCTAACATTTTTTGATGTCATTATAAATGTATGTATATAATGTAAGAAAGTAGACACCCTCTCGTATGAATCACAAAAGTGCCAAGCTCATGACTTGCGTTTTTGGTTTTTGACAGTTTTCTTTCCCTGTCTTTAATGTGAAAGGAGGATAAACTTAAAGCCTTAAATTAAAAAATAACTTTTCAATGTTAAAAAACTGGGTGTGGGGGGGAAGTTAGGCTTTTCATTTTATTCACATCGATTATTGTCAATATCTCATTCATGCCTCATCTTTCCGCCTCGAGATACAGGTGGTGGAGCCCCAGCGGCAAGCTGCTAATGGACACAGAAGCAGGGGCTGCTTTCCCGTGAGCGTGGCTCTCGTGGGCTTTACGTCTGTGTGTTGCGTTTTCCACAAATCTTGTTGGGGGCCCGTAGTGTGTGACTGGTCTGTGGGATGTTCTGGATTGTGATGGGATTCTACTACTCACAAATTCGTGATCTTCTTTTGCCTCCAGGCAGATGTGCAGATGTAATCTGGGTTCCCAAGTCCCTCCGAGTTTCCTTCGCCGGCACTGCTTTCTTCTTCCATTTAGGATCAAGATAGCTTCCGTTCAAGTGTTCAGTATATACATGAATAAAGAAATGTGGTCCTGACTTGGTTTTGAATGTAGAAACTTGTACGTGAGTCCTTCGGTCAGCACCCGCTTAAGAGATGAGCTTTCCTGAAGCCCCCGCCCTGAGAGCCTGCACTTCTCTAACGTCCCCTTTTCAGGAACAGGACACGCCATCCTACTATTCACTTCATGACAACCAGATGAGTTGCTAGATGTGGCTTTCAGTCCCTTTCCAGCAAGATTCATAACACCAGTCTCACAGTTTTTGCGATAATGTGCTAAAAGTGTACTGCTTAAAACTGGGGTTGTTGTTTTTTTCCCCAGGTATATTTAATTGCGGCAGTATCACAATCATAGAGCAGAAACCTTAATTTCAGTATGCTGACCTCACCTAACATCTTAATCCTGTTACTGCTCTCTGAGTACTAGGTGCTACCCAGGTCCGCAGTCTTTCTCTAGAACTAGCTGTATATTTATATTGTAACAACAGGGCTATCTACAAGGTGTATCAGCCTTATTCTGCTTCATGAGACACAGGCTGTGCCCCTCCACCTAGTGGCAACGGCCCTTTCAGCCCAGAGGAAACTCAGATTACTTGGCATCTCTTCCTGTCACTGTATTGTCTTTGTTGCTAGATCCTACTCCCTAGCGAATTCCACCTGTTACTGAGTGCACCACACACATTTCACTGCTCTTCCAGAGGCACCACGGGTGACTTCACAGAACCAAAACCACGGTGGTTACAAAACAAGTTAAATCTCCATTATTAACTTTTGAGCATTTCACAGACAACATTGTAAGTGTGCGATGTTACGTTTTAAATCAGACCACAGTGGTCCCCAAGTATTATGTACATAATGGCAAACGTCGGTGTAACTGTTTGTTACACTGGCAGTCTCCTAGGTAACCGAACCTATGTTCCAACGTTAAATTATCTATGTGTATATGTAAAATACACAAGCTTGAAGCTGCCTGTGTATGAAGATGAAAGATAATGCACCCATACCAACCCTAAACAATGGATTATAATTATTTTTGGTGGTACTCGGTTATGTCGTTCCGAACTCTTTGCTGTCTTTTCTCTTGCACATGCCGTTCATTTGCTGATTTTTGTGGTGAGAGTAGTCCTTTTTATGAATTTGAGCTCAAAGCATAAGCGTATCGCCATCTTACTGTTACCCAACAAGAGTTAGCGTTAAGTGGTGACAAGTTCCCATTTCATCTGCTCTTTGCTGCATTAATTAACGACACCTGGATGAGGAGGTGTGCGCTAACTTCGTTGCTCACCTGGGATACTGCATGAGCCCACTGAATTAGTGCTACTCCTATTAGATAAATGAGCGGTACACATAGGTGCATGTTATGAAACATGAATCACATAGAGCTGTGGAGTTTTACCAAGTAGTACGTTTTTTGTTTTCGTTTTTGTTTTTACTATGCAAAGATGGGAAATGCACAAACTTCTCAAAGACTCCAGTGTCTGAAGAACTTTACAAACAATACTTGAACCTTTCTTTCAAGTCATCCCATCATATTTTATAGTCATTGTTGCTTCCATTGTTAATTTTCGTTTTTAAATGGTTTGTAATTTTTTAAGTGTACAACCTGAAGTTTTGTTTGAAGTTAATAAATTCATTCATAATTTCGTTGGCTGCCTATGAATGGAGATTCAGTAGTCATTGTATGCATCTTTTAGTCAAGTGTGTATTAAAATCTTTGTTAACATAGACTGTTGTAGCTTTATACTTTGATCAATTTTCTTAGGCCCCCTTTTTTGTGTTATCTTGTGTTGAATCAATGGCCATGTGCCTGATGTCAAGAGTTTTAGCACGGGCTTCTCAATCAAAGGCTCACTTAAAATTTAAGCAGTCAATGGAGCAAAATAAAATCTCTGATTCATGAGAAACCTGTTTCTGATTAGAATTCAGTTTCATCAGATTTATTGGAAATGCTCTGCCTCTTATAAATCAGGGGGGAAAAAAACCCACCTTAGGATCATACCATTATCAATTTTTTTTCTTTAGTGTCTCTCTTCTGCATCTAAAGGGGATGGCTAGTAATAAGATCCACACTTTTGACCTGGTACCAAATTTACAATCAAGCTATAAAGAGAATGGAAGTATTTGGTTATACAATAAATCGTTTTATCAAAAACATTCGAAGGAAGGAATTTCCTCACAGCTCCCATGGGATTGGTCCCCAAATGATATTCCTTCTTTACAGATGTCTTTCAGTCTGTCTCCTCCATCCTTGGTTTGGCCTCAGCAGACACAGGTAACTCACATACATCTAGCACACTGACATGCAAAGAGGCTGATCTGACCACATCGTTCTTCTGCTGAAAGTTCACAGGGGCTCTTCATCTCCTCTAGGATGAAGTTCAAACTTAATAGTGTGACTGAAACTTCTGCCTGCCTTTCATAGCGTCACCCTTGTTTATTTTTCCAGCCATCATCAGCTTATCCTCTCAGTCCCCTTATTTAAGATTCCCCTCCAAGAGCCTCTTCTACCCAAGCTGAATAATCTCATGGAAATTTTATGTCCATTCACCATAATTCATTTGCTTCTCTGTCATTTCATGTAATAAAAGAAATACAGAAACACTTTAAAATAATACAAATATCATACTTTAAACCAGAAAGCACGTAAGAGTATCATTTAAATTTGACTTTAAAAGAATTTTCTGATTTTTTTGATGTGTTTTCCTTTAAGTCATTCTGTTTTTGAGGTTGACATTGAACTGAGTTCTCCCCCATGCTCCCTTGGATACTGACTGAGAAAGGTGGTCTGAAACCAGAAACTCCCTAGACACAGAACAGCAGCCCTAGAGTTAAAACTTGGATGTGAATAATTAAGTAGATAATCCATATGCTCACAATGGAATTCTTTTTTTTTTTTTTAATTTTATTTATTTGAGAGCGCACGAGCGGGTGGAGGGGCAGAGGGAGGGGAGTGGGAGAGGGAGGTGCAGGGGCAAATTCTCCGCTGAGCAGGGAGCCCCACCTGGGGCTGGATCCCAGGACCCTGGGATCATGACCTGAACAGAAGGCAGACGCTTAACTGACTGAGCCACCCAGGTGCCCCTCACAATGGAATTCTTAAGTCACTTTTGGAATTTAAGATAGGCACCCTTTAGGTTAATGTGCAAGGGTTAGGGACTTCCATTTATCAATATACTCATTTAACAAATATTTATTAAGCCCCTATGCCAGGAACTCCTTGTGGAGTAACATTGAATTGAAGTAACAGAAGGAAATCCTTGGTCTAAAGTTGCTCACAATTTAGCAGAGAGAGATACATGATAACCGTGACAGACAACATCATGAATGGGAGAGATGAGAACTGATGTGGGGCAGGTGGGAGAGGGATGCACGAAGCCTTCCTGAAAGAAGTGAGTTTTGAACTATCTTGAGAGATGACAAGAGTTCACTAGTCTAAGAAAGTGGGAAGACACTCAAGCACAGGAAGCAATGTGCCAAGACCCAGGGAGAGCTGCTCAGACCCTCGGTTAAGGAATGCTAAGTGTCCATGTTTCCTCCCATTCTTTCTCCCTCCCTCTTTCCTTCCTTCTTTTCCTCCTACCATTCACAAATGATCTATAAAAATCCTACAGTGTTGTGCCAGGTCACAGGGACGCAAGGATGAGCTCTCAATCTTGGAAATAAGATGCATCATAAGTGTCCTAGTGGACATAAGTATTAGGTACTTCAGAAGAAGAGAGGAGAGCGGCTGTCACTGCCCTTGAGATCAAAAAGGGCTTCACAGGGGAGGTGGCATTTGAGAAAAAAAATCTCTGCCACTGAACCTAATTGCCATGATAACTAATTGTAAGGTTAACCAGGACTCATTTTGGTTGGTGGAAGTCCGCTCATAAATACCTTGAAGAAGAACAACCTGTAACGTTGAGTCCAACTTTCAGATATCTGAATTCTTCTAGATTGTGTGGAGATGATTATTATCAGATGCTCTGCCAGAACCTTGTATTCTTTAAATATTTTCCCATGGATGTGCTCATCATGGTTCAGTCTTAAATGCTTGGGGCTGTCAGTAGTGACAACCAGGGCTTTTTGACCTGACCTGTAAACTTCTAATATTTTCTTCGCATAAAGATCCCTGGCTTAATTTCAGTCCGGAGTGAGGGGGTCAATAAAAACCACAAATGCTTTTAAAGCATCATTTAGTGGGTCCTTCGATTAATGAAGGGTCAGAATCATTTTCCACCTGCGATTGCACTTCCGGTCCACTAAAGTTGATGTTTATCTGTTTTTTCTGCCTTGGAGAGAAGGTTACCATTCCTTGAGCTTTTCTGAAACCTGTCAGCAGGTCTGGCTCCTTGACTAGAACAAGTTCTTGGCCACACTCATGACTTCTGGAGAGAAAGCAAATGCCATGATCCCTCATTACCCGAAAACAGTTGTCCTGCTGGGATCTGCTGATGCTCCTTTGCCGGCTGATTGCATGCACACATAGACACTGGCCCTGGTGTGGCTGCGAAGACTGCACTTGTGACCCCACAGAGTCTACCCTTATGAAAACATTTATCTGACTGTAATGGTCATTGAAAGCCAAATTCGCTGCGTCAATCGATTGGTCCTACAAAAACAAGGCAAAACAAAGCAAGGCAAAATAAAACAAAACAGAACAAAAATCTTCGTCCTGAACGATCAGGAGTATGTCAAGGGTTCTTCAGATCTCTTTGGAGCTTGAAATAGCTTCCAGTCTTCAGGGGGTAAATGAGATTGCAGCAGAGCTCCCCGCTTCTTCAGGCCCAGGCCTCAAGGTGAAGACACAAGAAGGTAACTTGGATTGTAAATAATATCAGAGACACCTCTAGTCTGCAGCAACAGACATGGCATTATGGGGCCATTGCAAATCCCATAGGGATAGCGAATGGACTGTATGCAGTGGGTTTTCCTATGGAGGTGAAATGGCCATAAAACAAGGGTGGCAGGGTGCCTGGGTGGCTCAGTTGGTTAAGCGACTGCCTTCGGCTCAGGTCACGATCCTGGAGTCCCGGGATCGAGTCCCGCATCGGGCTCCCTGCTCGGCGGGGAGTCTGCTTCTCCCTCTGACCCTCCTCCCTCTCATGCTCTCTGTCTCTCATTCTCTCTCTCTCAAATAAATAAATAAATAAATAAATCTTAAAAAAAAAAAACACAAGGGTGGCAAATTACCCAAATGAGCAGAATGGTGCAGTCTAGGAGACCAGAGGGGTGGGGAAAGTGAGCTGGGCTGGAGAGCACATGCCCTGTCTCTACTCAGCTCCAGCCAGTTGTCACCAGGTGGAAAATTGGTTCCTTATTGCCCTTTCCATTTATTTTTCCAGAGGAGCAAGAAATCCAGATTTGTATACAAAATTGCCTATTTTTTACATGGTGCAGCCAATTCATATTTTAAAAACACTGAGTGGATCAAGGTGGTGCAGACAGAACCTGTCTTCATGTAGGATTGAACCTGTTGGCCCCTAGTATGTACCTTCTCCCAACATTAGTGAGACATTCTCACATGTGGCCTCCTGAAATCTTCTGATCGCTCCAGTGAGTACCCAGACATGGCCTTGCTCCCAATCAGGGCTGCAGGTTGCCAAGTGGAGAGTCAGGCAGATGTTCACATGAGTTGCCACTTATAATGTTGACTTAACTGTTGTTTTGTGTGGATGAAGCAAGCCACAGAAATCAGCCTGCCCAGAAGTACTTCCTTTGGATGGTGTTTTGTGTGCTAAGCTTATTCGGATGTGCTCGTTGGTGAGCAATGAACTAATAATGCATTGGCAAATAGGCTTTGTCTCAATGATCACTAAGGCAGCTTAGTGGCTGCCTGGATCCTAAGACATGTCTGCCATCTGTTAGAGCGATGTGGTTGATTATGAATGTCTGCTACCTGGCAACCAGAAGTATCCGGCTAGATCCATGCAAATCTTAAGACAGTCTTTCTTTCAGTTTTTGACTCTCGAAACCAATTGGATATAGGGGTGAATCAGCCAATTGAGCTAATTCAGAGGTCCTATGTAATTTTCTGGATCCAGGGAAATAAGAAAATGATTTTTAAGAGGATTTTTAAAAAGATTTTTATTTATTTGAAAGAGAGAGAGATGGAAGGAGGGAGGGAGAGAGGGAGAGAGCCCTAGCAGAGGGGAGGGGCAGAGGGAGAGGAAGAAGCAGACTCTCTGCTGAGCAGGGAGCCCTATTCGGGGCCCATCCCAGGACCCTGGCCTCATGACCTGAGCCGAAGGCAGACACCTAACTGAACCACTCAGGTGTCCCAAGAAAAGGATTTTTGAGCAAAGAAATGCAGAAGCTGAAAATTTCAGCAGGAAGGAACAACTTAAATTTTTTTCTGATTAATTATGAAAATCTACATGTCTAGAGCAGAAAAATTGAGAAACAAACAAAAATTTAGAGAAAATTTAAATAATCATAATCTAATCAGCAAGATATAACCTCCATCAATATTTTGTTAATTTCTTGACTCTTCCTTTTGTTTTCTCTCACCACTACAGAATCAGCCCACAAAGATAGGCAGCAAGTGGGTCTCTCTGAGGATCTGTGTTTTCATTCTCCTGCTCGTGTGCATGTGTGTGCGTGTTTGCGTGCATGTGAACGCACACACGTACCTGCTAGTACCATGTTCTGTGTTCTACTGGATCCAGAAACGGATGAGACAGTCAGATCATTAGGGCAAAGTAGTACTTCTAATCTCTTAGCCTTGGTTCAGCCTGTTTCTTCTGCT